GCAATAAACGAGACTTGATCAGAAACCTGTCTTGTCTCCATCTCTCGTGTCCCCTGTCCTTTGTCATTCTCACTCCCCCTCTAGGGTCTCCGTTGACTTACCCGCGGGATGGGACACCATGCTCTGAAGAAGTCCACTGGAAATGGAGTCTGGTAGTGGGGAGAGGACATCACAGATGCAAATAGAGGAGGGCAACCTGAAGGAGAAGCATACCAGGTGAATCCATGTCAGAGGTATTTGGAAAGGGAAGCTGGGCTGCCCCTCAACCGTGGCACTGGTTATACCCCAGGCCCAGCAAACAGCTCATCTTGGGAGGGGCTTTCACAGCTTGAGGGAGGGAGCTGTCCTTTAGGGAGCTGGACTAATGTGATGGTCTCCTAGCCTGACAACTGCTGTACCATTAAATGCATGCTTATCCTGGCTCCCTTCTCCCTGAGAGAGGAGCCAACTAGGAGAAATATTTGCAGATCAGGGCACTAGAGAAAGTGAAAGCTAGAGAATTATTCAGAGGGCAGTGAATGAGTTAGGGCCAGCGGGCCCCTTGGGAAAGTAATAAACAAGGACATGGTCCTGTGGGACCTGGAACCAGAAAGTGGCTTCAGGCCAGTGGCTCAGTGACTTACAGAGGTTAGGCAGCAGCTGTGACTGACATGACCCAGGGGAGGAGAAAAGACCCTGGCATTCCCCAAACACCAGAGGGTTTTGTGACTGCAGGATCTCCTACAAGCTGCTGGAACCCTCCCATTCCCAGCAAAAACTGCTGGGTCCTAGGGACCTCAGAGTGTGTTGGCTAGATAGTGACTCCTTCAGGGATGCAGTCAAAGAGTTTTTAGCAAGGGCAGATAACCGAAGTGTGGTGTTATTTTTCTATTATGGAATTATGGATTCTTTTATTTTTTTCACTTTTGCTTAACAATTCACCCAATTAGATGAATTATTTCCTTGGCCCCGTTAGTGATTTTTGGTTTTTTAAGGTTTTTTTTTGTTTTTGATTTTGGTTTTTCTCTTGTCTAGGATACCTTTGAATACTTTCAGCAATATTGATTAGGTGGTCATGAATTTCTTTAGGTACTGTTTGTTATGGAAAGTCTTTATTTTCTGTCAGTTTTGAAAGAAATTTTTTTCAGGATACATTAATCAAAGTTGAAAGTTGTTTTCTTTTAAGGCTTGAAAAACTTCACTGCACACCAAAGAAAACAACAGAGTGAAGAGACAGTCCACAGAATGGGAAAAATATTTTCCAGCTTATTCCTTGGACAGAGGATTAATATCTAGAGCACATGAAAAATTTAAAAAATCAAACCTCCCAAAATTAAAGACCCAATCAAATAATGGGCAACTGAAGTGAAGAGTATGAATGCCCAATAATTACATGAAAAAATCTTCACCTTTGGCCATCAGAGATTGCAAATCAAAACAACATTGAGATTCCACCTTACTCCATTAAGAATGGGTATTAAGGACTCAAAAAACAACAAATACTGTGTGATTTTGGGGAAATAGCAAACTTTCTGTGTTGTTCATGGGAATTCAAACTAGTACTGTTGCAGAAATCTCAGAAAGAAATACACGGAGACACAGAATTCAGATAAAACAATAAAATTTCTTCTCGGGAATGCCAGAAACAGGTCTGGTTAGTCTCTGGGCACCCTTTTGTTTAGAGTTTCCCTTTTTATATCCTTTTTAACCATTATCTCATCCCTAGTGGTCTTTGATGTGTAAATACAATTCCAGTTTCTATTTACAAGTCACAGACACAAGATAGACACATATACATTGTGAATTCACCCTGGCATGGTAACTTTGTTAGGTTAATGAAGTTACTGGTTAAAGAGTCAGATAACTGTTACCCTAAACAAGGAGTTATGGGAAAAGCAAATCTTAAAAGAACACATTATTTATTTTGCTTCTACAACTACCTTAATATTCAATCTATTAAGTTATCTAAAACTTTTCCCTATCAGTACAACCAGTATGGATTGCACTATGGAGATTATTCCTTAAAAGCTAAAAGTGGGAATTTTCCTTGACTCAGCTATTTCCCTCCTAGATATCTTCCCCAAAGTATTAATAGTTTTGTACTGAGGATACTGTGCTTATGTCTTATCATGTTCACATACATATGCTACAGTTTCTCTTGATGTGGCTCCTTATTATCTCCCTCCCTCCCTCCTTTCTTTCTTCTTTCCTTATTTCCTTCTTTATTTCTCTCTCCCTTCCCTCCCTCCTTCCTTCTTTTCTTCTCTCTCTCTTTTCAGTTTTTTGAGACAGGGTTTCGATATGTAGACTAGAGTGGCCACGAACTAACAGCAATCTTCCTGCCCTAGCCTTGTGAGTGCTGGGATTACAGGCATGCATCACCTTGCCCAGTTGGCTCTTTACTTTCTATCTCTAAATGCATTTAGAAATTTTAGAAGATGAGACTGAATGCTTAGTAATTCTTAAGACTAACTACTCGAGTAACAAAATGACAGTTTCTGTTTTAAATTTCATCTAAGAACTTATGTTATACTTGGATTTATCCCAAACTATGTTTTCAGTTTGTTGACTTTGAAACCAGGTTCTTTCTGTCTTCTATAGTTTAGTTTACTCTTGTATGTTTTTTGTCTCACTGTTTTGTTTCGATGCTGGGGATTGGATTTCCAACTCTGCAGTCTACTTGTTAATACAAATAAGATGGAATCTCAGTGTTGTTGTAATTTGTATTTATTTACTGGCCAGAGATGTTGAACATTTTTTATGTATTTGTTGGCCATTTGTACTTCTTTGGAGGAATGTTTATTCATGTCAGTTGCCCATTTTCTTGAGTCTTTTATTTGGAGGGGGTTTGATTTTTTTTAATCCTTCATATATTCTAGCTATTACTAGTCCTCTGTCCAAGGAATAGCTGGCAAATTTTTTTTTCCATTCTGTAGGTTTTCTCTTTACTGTGTTGTTTCCTTTGTTTTGTAGAAGTTTTAGTTTGGTATAATCATATTTATTGATTTTTGATGTTGTTTCTTGTTCAATTGGGGTTCTGTTTAGAAAGACCTTGCCTATTTCGCCTATGTCTTTAAGACTTTTATCTATTTTAGCTTCTATCACTTGAAGTGTTTGTTTTACTATTTAAGTTTTTGATCAGTTTTGATTTTAGTTTAGTACATGGTGAGAGATAGGAGTCTAGATTCAATTTTCTGCATGTGGACAGCCAGTTTTCCTGGCACCATTAGTTAAAGAGTCTATCTTTTTTCTGGCATATGTTTTTGGCCCCTTTGTCAAGGATCAGATGACTGGATGTGCCTGGGATTGTTTCTGCATCTTCTGTTGTTTCATTGATCCACATATCTGTGTTTTTTTTTCAATCATTGTAGCTTTGTAATATAGCTTGAGATCTGAGATTGTGATGCCTCTTGCTCTGCTCATTTCTCAGGATTGCTTTTGTGATGCTGTGTCTCCTCTGATTCTATAGAAATTTTGGGATTATTTTTTCTAGTTCTGTGGGGAATGCTGCTGGCATTTTGATTGGGATTGCATTAAATCTATGTATAAGTTTTGGGAAAGTGACTATTTTGACGATATTTGTTCTGATTATCTGGGAAGATGAGTTTTCTTTCCATTTTCTGATATCCTCTTTGATTTCCTTTTTCAGAGAACTCTAGCTTTCATTATAGAGATCTTTCACTTTGTTGCTTCAGTTAATACCTAGGTGTCAGGAGCAACGCTACATAATTTTAGGGTAAAATCATTGGTTAGCCTAGTTCTCTTGCCTACAGCCCAGCTATGGAATTCCAAGACATAACTCCATTTTGGCCTCCCGTCACAACTGAGACCTCAATGATCCGGTGATGCTGTGATTCTCCAGGACAAGAAACATCCTGGGAGTGGAAAACATCCTGGGAGGAACAAACATCTACTCAGTTCCTCATTGTTCTTGTACTGTTACCATCTTATTTATGCAGGATGTACTGAACTCTCTGCAAGTCATCTGTTACATTTGTTTCTCCTGATGTACTGCATAAAAGGTGTGGTAAGCTGGGTGCTTTCGTCTTTGCTGCCCAGAGCAGCACTGATCAGACCCGAAGCTCAGCTTCTTCTCAGTCTCATTTTTCTACCTTTCCTGTAATTCGCCGTGTACTGCCATGGCTCGCAGGAGACTAGGACTCACTGCAGAGGTTCTAGTAATGTCCCCTTTCCCAGTTCCCTACACCTAGGTATTGAATTTTTCTAGATTCTAGATGGTATTTTGAATGGTATTGTTGTCCTAATTTCTTTCTTGGAGGTTCATTATTGGGCTTTTCTTAGTTGGTACATTTTTTATTACTGCCTCACATTTTGTTGCTTGCAATTGGACTGTTCAAGGTTTTAATATATTCTTGGTTCAGCTCTTGTAGTTCATACATATCTAGCAATCTATCCATGTCTTCTAGATTCTCAATCTTATTGGAGTACAGATATTTGAAGTAGTTACTAGTATTCTTCTAGATTTTGGTGGTGTCTGTTGTGATTTCACCATTTTCATTTAAATTATATTGATATATATCTTTTTTCTTCCCTTGCTAAGTTAAACCAAGTAAAAATTACAAAATATTATGTTAGTAGTTTCCTTTGAGTGGCCTGTGACATTTGTTTTTTTCTTGTGAGATGAAAAGTATCTTTTCTTACAAAACAGAACAATAGTATATTTCTCTTACAGTCTCATTTGACCTCATAAGAAGACAGAGTACAGCATGAAGAAGTAAGCCAGAACTCAATAGAAGAATCAAAGTCCAGGGATTTAGCTTAGTGGGCCAGACCAGCGCAAGGTCCTGAGTTTGATCCCCAGTACCTACCAACCCACCAACCAAAAAAAACCAAAAAGAGTGAAGAATCAAATGCTCTTTTCTAATTGTGCTATTGCAATAGTTTAGCAAAGATAGAGGGGTAGCTTAGACTTGAGTGTGGGCAGTAGTAGTCTGCAAAATATTTGTATTTGGGATATGATTTGAAGGCAGAAGAAACCATCTAGAAAACTGCTAACTGTGCCTGTGCTCTATTTTATTTTCTTCTTAGTTTCACTATTCAAATTGGCTGGACAGGATATACATGGTGCTGGGAACTCTGGCTGGTGTTATCCATGGAGCTATGCTCCCTCTCATGTTGCTGGTGTTTGGAGACATGATGGACAGCTTTGCAAGTGTGGGAAAATATAGTCAAAGTAAGTATTGTTTGTGGTGCTTTTATTAGAAGCATGCAGGAAAACAGGATGATATCACTGAATGGGCACTATTGTGTTTAGTGATCTGGGAGGTAGAGGGTCTGAGTGTAGCTTATGCTTGTCAGGAATTCGAAAAGATAGTACTCACAAGCATTAGAATGGCCAGTGGAAATGCTGACAGAGATGAGTAGAAGAGCAGAGAATTCTGTGATGTCTGAAGCACCATAAAAAAACTTCAGGAGGAGATAAAAATCAATCAGGACTTTGTGAGAAACTGAGATCAGTTACAAGATTCCCTGACAGGCTGGATATGAGTAGAAGAGAGGGATCCAGGGTGATTCTACATTTTTAGCCTGAGAAGCTGGATAGGTTGCTATTACTGTCAACTGAGATGAGAAAGATGGAGGGAAACTAGGTGTGGGCAGAGAATATCAGCAATTCAGTTTTGGATATTGTCATGGATTATTGGAGAGTGATCAATCCTCCCATTGCCTGGGGGGGACAGCGAGAGGTAAAGAAAAAAAAGACAACAGAGACTTGCATAATTTTAATGTATATGGGAGCTGGGAGGTTAGTGCCTCATAATGGGCAAAGACAAAGACTCTCCAGGTTAGCCACTATTTATTGGGTACACACAATAATTGGAGAGAGTATCAGGTGGCTTAGGGGGTGGCAGTAATCCTTTGTCAATTTAGATCTTATGCAGAAGATCTTAGGTAGGTGAGGATCTTATGTTGATGAAGGCAGTAAGGAGAGCATTATTACAATAATAGGTGGGATGTGTTAAGCTGATAAAAAAATTTGTCCCTCTCTTTTTCTTACTACTTGGTTCTCAAGGCACCAGGATGTCTTTAGCTGATGTAATCTTGTCCTTGAGTATCACAACATCACGGGACCGATGAGGTCTCATCTGTGACCAGAGCCAAAATTGGAGTTCTGTTTTGGCATGTCATAGCCAGCTCCTGGGCAAGGCGACATTGGGCCTTAGACAGCTATAGTTATACTTTAATTGTAAAGTGCCTTTTCCCCCAAATTCTGTAGACAATGGATTCAGACAATGGATTAGGCAGGAAGGGAGAAATGGGTCTAAGAGAAGTGTGTGTGCGTGTGTGTGTATTTTAGGGTGGAAGTTGTGTGTTTGTTAACTGAACTAATTCAGAAGAGTGGAGAAAGTAATAAATGCTGTTTGAACAGAAAGGGAAAAATCTTATTAGAGTTATGTCCTTGAGGAAGCATGAAATCCATTGCCCAGGAGGAAGTGTTTGGTTTAGATAGAAGTGAGAACAGTTCCTATACTTTAACAAATAGGAAGAGAATATTTGATTGTCAGAGTCCAAAACTAGGTAGATAAGGAGATGACAGCCTGGAAGTTTAGCTTTGATGATAATCATTCTCACTTACCTGCAAATAATATATTTCAAGACCCTTGGTATGTACCTGAAGCTATGAATGGCACTGAATTCTCTATATACTGTATTTTTCCTTTATATGCATATGTATGATAGTTTAATATATAGTATAAATAGTGCACAGTGAGATTAACAATAATTAGTAATAAAATAACACCAATGTAATAATTTAGTCTACTATAAGTTACGTGAACATGTGCTTGCACAGGATCTCTATCTCTCATAATGCCATATGGTATTGTCCTCTCCCAATTGTAGTGATGGGAGACCATACAATGCCATGGTTGACAACAAGAAACTGAAACCATGGAGAGAGAAACTGGGGGTGTGGACACTACTGCACTTCAGTTTTCTCAGTGATGTAGGAAGCAAGGCATTTGGCTGATAAAGGAGAGAGATGTAAAATAGCTATGTAAGAGAGTGGGAAAGTGAATGTACTATTAAATAATTTGTGTGTACCACACATATTCTCAACGTGGGGAGATTAATTAAAGGCTTTGGGCTTAAATCTTCAGGACACCTCTAGTGAAGTCTAGATTGACAAAGGCCCACAAGTCAGTTTGCACTTTGGGGTTAAAACTATGAAAAATGCTGAAACTGCCTGTTTGAGAATACCCTTGAAAGTACACTGATAGCTTGCAATAACACTTCACCTTTTGGACTTTTAAGTCTCCATTGATTACTATAAATCTCCCCCCCCCAGAATCATGCACATTACTATTCATACCAATTTGAGGTGTAGATGGAACATTTGATACTTTTCCATGGCTTTTGGGAACTACAGAATACATTGTTTACTCTGAGTAGAACTACTTCAGTTTTGTGAATTGGGTCAGAGAGTTGGGGCAGAAGAATGTATAGTATTTTTTTTTTTTGGTAGTGGGGATTGAACTCGACCTTGCACTTGGGAGGCAGATGCGGCACCACTGAGCTAAATCCCCAGCCATATTAGTATGTTTTAGCTGTGTAAAATTCTTATGCACTTATTACCTCCCTTCGTGACATTCAGAGGCACCTGCAGGAAGATACTGCACTGCTTTTGAACTGGCATCTTTCTTTTATACCATGCACAAAAGGAGGTCCTCAGTGGTTTCTAAATTCACTGTTTTCTATATACCATGTGCTGGGCACCATTGTGTAGAGTTAGCTCTTTTCCTGGTTTATAGTGGAATCAGAGGCTCTTTGAGTGCTCCCTGGTAGCTCAGCAGGCCTAATGTGCACATTTCTGCCCATTCTGACCCTACCCACTTTGTCAGAAGTACAAACACAAACATTGCTGTAAGACTGTCAGAGGTGTTATTATAATAGTCATGGTGTGCTTCTGCATACAGTGAAGGGAAAGCTGCTGAACTTATGTATCAGTAAGAAAATTACAGGTTATTTAAACAGCTGTTTAATGTTGACCTGTCTAGGGAGAACAGACCATCATATGGGTCTGTTTAGCTACCAGAGCTGAAATCTGATGGGCCTCAGTAATCTAAGCTTGTATCATATCCACCATTCTTTTGTAATAATAGCATTAAAATTTGTATTACAGTTTATTCCTATCACACAGACATGAATTGGCTTTTATTCTTAAAAAGAAACAAGCAGTGGGCTGGGGATTTAGCTCAGTGGTTTCACCACCTACCTGTGCAAGCACACGGACCTGAGTTTGATCCCCGGTACCAAAAAGAAAAAAGGAAACAAGCACTGTCTAAGTCAAGGTGGCAGTTATGGCCAGGTTTATCCAGAACACCTGTGTGAGAACAGGCAGTGCTCTGGTGTGAAAGTTTGTGTTCTCCAAAATTCCTGTCCAGAAATCTTTTTTTTCTCTCTTAAGTTCTTTTATTGGTACATTTTAGGTATACAATACATTTACATTTCTCATTGGGTACTTACATTTACACGATGTATTTTGGTTCTTATTTTATCCCCATTCCCTGCCCTTCCTTCACCCCTTCCACCCTTCCCTATTTGCAAAGGCTTTGTTTCCATTTATTTCCTATCTCATATTTTTTCCTTTCCCTTCTTTCCTTTCCCTTACCTCTCCCTGTTCCCCTATCCCTTTGTACCTTTTCTTCCTATTTCATATTTTTAATTATTCATTTTAATCCTTATTTACACTTTCTGTTTCTAATACCTGAGAAACTTATTTGCCACATACACATGTATGTCCTGTTTATTTTACTTAAGAGTATGTCCTCAATGTGCATCCACTTAGCTATAAATGTCTCTAATTTCTTATTCTTTATGGCTGAGTAGTACTCCATTTTATAAAAAAACCACATCTTCTTTATCCAGTCTTCAGTTGATGGGGAATTGGGCTGTTTCCAAGTTTTAGCTATTACAAACTGTGCCGCTATAAACATGGGTGCTCATATATCACTGTGGTATGATGCTTTTATTTCTTTTGGGAAGATACCCAGTAGAGGAATAGCTGGGTCAAATGGGACCTCTAATCCTAGTTTATTTATTTATTTTGGTACTGGGGATTGAATTCGGGACCTTGCACTTGTGAGGCAGGTGGCGGAACCACTGAGCTAAACCTCAGCCCTCTGATCCTCTTTTTTTTTTTAGGTACCATGTCTGGAACTCAGGTCCTTGTGCTTGTGAGGCAGGTGGCGGAACCACTGAGCTAAATCCCCAGCCCTATATGCTTGTTTTTAATGGAGGTGAAGAAGCCATGAATGATACATGATTATTTTGCAGTGTTCTAGGTGAAGACAACATCACAGTGAGCTTCTGCCATCTGGAGGAAGACATGACAGTGTAATTAGACATTTCCTTACAATTATTGTATTAACCTTTACTGTATTAATTCCTTTGTAGATATGTTTATAATTGTGCATTATTGTAATGAGAAATTGAAATTTTAAGGAGAAACAATACTAATGTTAGGTTTCAAGTAGGTTATGGTGTAGACTTTTTTTTCAAATATTTTTAAACAGAAGTATGTGTTGCATAAGATGTAAGCCTTAATAGTTATGTATGCATTGTGAACTATAGAATACAATACACATGGAAGTTAGAAAAGTTGAATATAGCTTTTTAAAATATGGTTGCATCACCACCACCACCCCTGCCCCCCATGAAGAGGGGATGAGCCACTCCCAGTGCCCAGGAGGAGGTTTCTGGGCTGCCATACCACCCCCCACAGTGCAGACTAGGTGAGCCACTCCCATCAGCCAGGAGGGGCTTCCAGCCCCAGTACCCCCCACCACCTGCACTCCCAGTGCAGTGGTGAACCACTCCCAGTGCCCAGGAGGAGGATGAGGAGGCTTCTGGGCCACCGTACCACCACCCTACCAGCTCAGAGGAGGTGAGCTTCGCATATGTCAGCAACCAGCCCCCCATGAAATGAGAAGACACATAAACAAGTCTCAAAACCAGACTTCCAGATCACCTAAACCAACCCCAAAGAGAAATGAGATGAAACACTGATACTCAACCACCTGGACTCATTGAACTGGCAACAAAAGAGGATCTGCAAAAAATGAAATCAGAAATAATTTCTCAGATAACAGCAGAGATTGTGCCCTAGTGCACAACATGACTAATAAATCTAGAGAGGACCCAGATAAAAAAATAGAGGAGCTGAGGAACATGATGGAATCCCAACATAGGAAACAAATAGAATTGATAAAAGAGATGCGCACAGATTTCTAGGAAATTCAAAACTCCATTGAAAGTTTACACAGCAGAATGAGACAATGTGAGGACAGAATCTCAGATACAGAAGATAAGATGGCAATTAGTGACCAGGAAAAGAAAAATTTCTTTAAAATTATAAGGGACCATAAGACATCAATCCAGCAGCTACTAGACGATGCAAAGAAGAATAACATAAGACTGATTGGAGTCAATGAAGAAACAGGAGAGAGTGCAGACGACATAAAAAAACTTCACAGAAGTGATGGCAGAAAACTTACCAAACAGGGAAAAAGAACCTGATATACAGATAAGTGAGGCATATAGGACTCTAACTGGCCATGATGAAAAACACCTATACATAGGCATATAATAGTTAAGATTCCAGAAACCCAAAAGAACAAAATTCTACAAGCAGTAAGAGAAAATAAACAAATCACATACAAAGGAAAGGCCATCAGAATCACAGCAGACTTCTCAGTGCAATCCTTGAAGGCAAGAAGAGCTTGGAGTGATGTATTTCAAGCCCTAAAAGAAAACAGCCTCCAACCCAGATTGATGTACCCTGCAAAACTATCTTTCAAA